GCTCTTTGATTTCTCAGTCCGAGCCGTTACACATTACACCACAACACACATCCCTGGGAATTGGAAGTTTAATATAGCAATGCTTAAGAACGAGAAAAAGAGGAGTGATTAACACATTTAAATGTTTCCCGTAAAATATTGTGTTAATTATTTCTGGGATGGTTGGCATTACAAAGTTGTTGTTTATATATATATATATATATATATATATATATATATAGAGAGAGAGAGAGAGAGAAATATCGCTGTAACGTACACTAGTAAAACTACGGACTGCAGACGACATCCAGCTCGCAACGAAATTGTTTCTTTTCTTTTGTTCTAGAAATAGTAGAAGCAAAAATAAAATTCAAATAAAACTTGTATTCACTTAAATTGTTTATTCATTCGAAAATAATAAAAGAAATGAAATCCAACCCAGATATTTAAAAAAAATTCTTTGTATTTCTAAAATGTGTAACACATACTCTGTGACCCTTATACTGAAATGTTTGGAGAACACTGGCGTAATAAACGATATTTCTTAGCAACTCAGGTTCGCAAGTCGGCATCTCGGAAGAGGGTAATAGTTAGCAAGCTACTCTTTCTGACTTTTGAGTTTTGAATATATCATTTTATTCATTTTTCCTTTTTTTTCCTCTTAACATGAAGCTTATAACTTATAAGCCTAACAAAGATCAGATGAGGCCAATAATAAAGTATGTTTTAACCATGAAGCGAATCTCGGATTTTTTTTTTTTCATGTAATTTTATTTTACAGATCGCGACAGCTATTAGGGAGATGTGATTAAATATGTTTTAAAAAAATTATTCAGTATTATTGTTTAGGTAATAGGCATGGTGGCGTAATGGATTGAGGAATCGGAGAGCCGAGTTCGAATTCCAGTCAATTCCATTACATTTTTAACGTTCCACTTCAGTTAAATTTTTATTCTCAACAAATCATTGGTTAAAAAAAAATAATGCAATGCAATTACTATATGTCTTCTTAAAAAGTGAAAAAATTTTGTGCAAAAAGTGGATCACACAGACCTTGCTATTTTTCTGATTGCCTACGCAATCAGGTTTTGCCGCCAGTATTTTTGAACGTCAGGCTGTAGCCGGTCATGTGACACAGAACGAAATAATATAGGGAGCGCGAACGTATCCCATCAGTGAGACCTTTTAAAAGTCAACAAGACACATCACTGCCACGCTAAAGAAATTTAACTTGGACATTCCAGTCTTTTTCCAATTCTTCACCAGCAAGAAATTACTTTTAAAAAGTATTCTGAAGTTACAAGTTTACCGAACATAATTTCAGCTTTTCCGGACACAATTCAAGAAATTTTTCACTCATTTCTATTCAATGGAATTTACTCTTTGCTGAACATTTTCTTTTAGCGACAAGATTTATTGTATTTATTTTCAGAAGTACAAAAACTAAATTTCATTTAGTACCAAACAGAAACTTCTTAAAACATCAATTAGTAATATAAGTTACTTTTTTACCAAACACATTCCCACAACACAAAAACATTCAACTAATTCACAAAGAACATTTCTTCTAAAAACAAACTTTTTTATTATGAAACCAGATAAAAAATTCTGTCAAAGAAAAATTTTCAAATAATTCAATTCATAGTTAAGGTTAAACAACTCTTATTTTTGCATTGTAAAATTCTGTACCAAAAACGGTGTTTTGAAGGAACATAAAGCATTTTAATTTGCCCAATTAACATTACTGAACTTTGAAATTCAGCTTAGCTCAGCTAAATATCCTGAGTAGTTTATTCTTGATAATTTGTATTATTCTTATATAAATATTTTGTTGTTGTTTTACATTATTGTTGTCATTTTTGTATTGCCTTGTTAGCCTTGTGCTATAGATCTAAAGTTAAATGTTGTGGAGAAGTGAAATTTTATACACGCAGCCGACCTCATAACTAAACAGCTTTTTGATCAATTTTCAAACTTATTCAACTTTCACCTCCGCAACACATTCACTTACGTGCTAATACCCTTGGGGAAAGGTATGAATCCTCATCTTCTATGGGTAAATAGCAGGACAGACTGAGTTGTATAGCCTTGGATGCCAACTGGTCTACCGCAGATAGAAATGGCAACCTACTGCGTCAGTCATATATCGAAAGAAACATGATCGCCTAAGCGTGTATCATGCGTGGCACATAACTGACTGAATAAGCATTTTATAGCATAGCACAAATAGCTATATACGCATTTTTTTTACGTATTTATGGTTATTTTTTAACTTTTAATATCTGTTAGTATCCTATGGAAAAGGCCTAAAGAAACATGATGCAATATTTGAAATATACTCTTTTGTTAGAGATAGATTAGCAAGAACAAGGACTGTCGCGAAGGACGTTATGTTTTTTCTTCTAAGTCACGACTACCTTAATTTTGATGATAGACCTACATCCTAGCGGGCCTAAGGAAAATAGGAAAAAGAATGATGGAAAATATTACAGTGTATTTATAAATTCAGAAAGCGTACCCTAGTGACTTTTTTTTTAGTTAGGAAAGTAAGTGGGGTTAACTCCACAACAGCATTTAGAAGATATACCACAAACTGAGAAGAAAACGTCTAACCAGCCCCTGCAGAATTGGAGAAAAAAAAAGCACGGTGAGAAACACGGTACTTTTTTGCCGTTTGTCAAAACAAACCACCTCCCTGCGTTGTTGATAGTTTAAAAAAAAAAAAAAAATCACCGTTCGAGCACCTAGTTAGGACATTGAACACGTCTGTTACTTTTCAAATGCTTCGTTTGTGCGTTATATTTTCAATAAATCTTTACCATTTTGTTTTTAGTTGTTTTCCGTTCCTCTCTTAGTCACTAGTTAAAAACAACGAAGGGAAAAAGCCAATAACCTCGTGGTTGTAGTAATATGACCACAAAACGAGATAGCAGTTTTTATTATGATTTCAATCACGAATTATTTTGTGGTTGGCAATTAATGTATTAATTAAAGTAATAAAGTAAAAGCTACTTCTAAGTAGTTGGTCATTCTTACCTTATCATCTGGTTATTCTCTTGTTAAGTAAACAAGTCATTTGGGTGTTTGGATTTCTGAACCACACGACTTTTCCTGTCCTGGAATATTGTCTGACTACAGATCGCGTGCCTCTGTGTTAGGAGTTTTGATTTTACGCTTTTGGACAACATCTTTGAATTGCGACTATTCTGGTGGATTTTCCCTTCTTGTTCCGAATTCTCGTTTGTCACCAACATACCAAATGTGTTGCTTGTTACAACGGAAATTTCTAAAACTTTGTATGCTGTATCTCCTGTTCTGGTGATCTGCTACTGTGATGATTCCTGTATTAACCCATGATTTCCCCGGTTTACTACGATATACCATTACGGCTGAGAAAATATCCGGTTGCTGCAACAGTCTGCGATTTTCACTCCCGTTTCCGCTGCTCCGTTCGCTTTTGGATAGATTCCTCAGAGACCACAGTCGAACTGCGGCCTTGGCCTTCTCCCGAACCTGCAACCAGTTCATTTCCAACTGGAGGTCGGAACCGAACCAGACCCCGAAAAACTGGCACGGATCGTTCGTCTAGAGAAAAGGCCCTGGAAAAGAAGCTTCCTGTCATGCGTCCAATCGCAAGCCAACAAACTCCACTTATCGGTTGAGGTTGGCCCCCCTGTTACTGTCTCATATCTTCTGATTTCTATGCCGACTTGTTCAATCTCAGCACTCCCTCGTCGTCAGCATAGGCGGAATACCTGGCCGAGGTACGGTTGGTTTGATCATAAGACAACAGGCTTGGGAACTTCGTTAATAGCAGTTAAACCTCTGCGACCCCCCCCCCTTGAGGTTTGTCGCATATCCAGGCTACTTCGATTTTTAGTGGTTCTGGCATTGGTTGCATGACGTCTGCTACATTGTATAGGAATCGCCCAAGATATCGAACCATTCCAATGAGGCGTCTAAACTCAGACACGCAGGTAAACTGACGTAATTCCAGAATCGCCTGTACTCTTCCTTTGCTAGGTTATAATTCGTCTTTCGTTATCGTATGTCCGAATATTTAATGCGGCTTTTGCTAAATTCGTCTGTAGGTTGGGCGACTTTCTATAATATCGCCTTCTAAACGCTCCAGTTTAGATTTTACCTTTGGTAAAAATGGAAACCGTATCCGTCTTGTTATCGTCTCTCGGATGAATCTTCACTGGTCTCCCTTCATGGAGCCTTCTTGATATGTTCCGGATTTCATCGAATGTGCAACGTCTCTCGACAATCAACTTTCCATGTCCCAACCGTTAATCAAGCACACCTCAAACGAATAATATTACCTTCTATATGCCGTGAAAGTCTTTTTTTTTTTTCATCGCACGATAATATGCCTCCGGGGATCTTAAAGACTCCATCTACCGGACTTAGTCAGTTTAACAAGTAGATTTCTATGTGTTAGGACTACTAATAACAGTAACACTAAATATCTGCTCCAGTTTTTTTTTTAAATTTCAGATGGTACCATAAATTTGTAGTTTAGCAAACAATGGGTCGAGTATTTTCATTTTCAGCGAGTGATCCTAAAAATATTCCCTGTTGTCGCGTTTTATTTCTCGGACGTTGTTTATCTTGGTTTCGCAACTTGCCGCGAAATGGTTTTGGCAGGTTGCTGCGGGTTTTCCTTTTCGCCGGAAATAGATCCCATTCGTGTTGTTAGTTACACCAACCACACTTTTTTCTGGTTGTACTTTCCGTTTGGATTAAGTTTTCGAGTCTTCACTCGGTTAGTTTAGATTTCATCAATATTTGTCTGTCTTTCCGCCATTTGCAGTCTGATTTGTTTACGATTACACGCCATTTCTAAGGTTTTGAATTTCAAGTCTGGGGAGAGCTATAAACGCCTCGCTAAACCCTTGTCTTGAAATTCATTTATAAACTTATTTTTGATTTCTTAGTTCGAATTAGCAAAGCTGTAACCTTCAGCAAGTTCGTATAATGCTCTCTGTTATTGATTCTTTATAGTGTTGTGCTCTCGAATGGAATTTAGCCTTTCCGTCGGTGACGATCTTCTTCGAAATGTAATAGGCTTTGAATTTCGCAAATACCGTATCGAAGTCCTCATCTTTTCTTCGAAAATGTAATTGATTTAGCAAAATTTTCTACTTATCCATACATACAGTAAATAAAGGTGTTGGTTTGAACTAGTCAAGTTTCCTCATAAAATTTATATGCTTGTTGAAATCTTTCAGATCTTCGATACCACTCTGTATTCAAAAAGACAGTTGTGGTTTGAATGTTTTCTTTTATCTTTGACTGGCAGTAATATATGAGAGAGAGATATTTAAGAACCTCAGGTTGACTTAGCTACTCCGACATCATGTTTAATAACGACGCCGATGGCAACACGTGGGACTCGTTTGAAGTATTTTATTATCTCTGATCTCTCACTCTCTAAAAAAGGAAATAACAAAACAAGGAGCACAATTCAATGCCCTTACGAGGTCCTGTTCATAATATCGATACAGTGTAAAATCTATCATCGATCCCTGACCTTTTACAGAGTTATCTGGAAGTAACTGTTCTCCGTATGAAAACTTTATTAAATAACTAAATAATTGTGTGTGTGGATAATTTGTAGGATTTTCTTTTTTACCGAATTAAATACTTTTTTATTTTTTTATTTTCTTTAGAGTGATAAGTAAATCTATTTGTATTGGGCGTAGCAAATGGTTCGTTAATAAGGTGGATATTGGTAGCAGTCTGGAGAAATATTCGTCAGTAGTGGGGATATAGTAATCTTAGAAACTTAACTGCTTCTTCACGCGTCACACACATAGCTGGTTTCTTTCGTTCCGATCTCTCCTGCCATCCGTTCTCACTCTTAGCTTATATACTTCTGACCAGGCTTAGAGTTTCTGGTGCAAACATTAGTTTAGGCTATAATCAAAATCTCTCTGTGTCAATGTTTTTGATTCACCAAAATAATTTAATTTTCTGGCGTTCCTTTCTTTTTTATTTATTTTTATAACGGAATGTATGCGTGCTGCGTCCCTGATCTTTGGTATTTTTCAGTTACAAATAAGTAGACTATTCCTGCAAACTTCCGACGTTTTTCGGCTGGGTTCAGTCTTTTTTTATTTGAAGGTTGCTTTCTCGTTAGTTGAGAGAGCAATATAAAAAGAAGTTTAGAGAAAAAGAAAGATAATGGTTTTAAAGCAAAGCGCAAATGCCTTATTTTAATTTGAATCGTTTTTATTTTTTGTTTATACGGTGTAACCCGGATATAAGAGAGTTGTCGGGACCGGAGACGAAGTCTCTTATATCCGGGTTTCTTGTATCTGGGTTTGGTCTATTTTGTTTAGGTAAGTATGGGCTCTAATTTGGGACCAGAGAAAATCTCTTATATCCGGGTTTCTCTTATATCCGGGTTACACTGTATATTCTATTATAATTTATCGAAGAACAAAAATTTACATAGAAGTTGATAAAAGTCGATTTTTCATCAGTAAGGACAAATATTATCCCCAAATGTTTGTACATGTTCTTCCGAGAAAAAAAAATGCACCCCCACAAAAAGTGTTTGTTCATTTTTTTAAAATTTAAAAAATTCTGGAGAGAAAAAAAAATGAAAATTCCAGTAATGCAAGCACAGTTTCGAACTTGACATTTGTAAATAACAACAAGCCCAAATAACTCTGTAAGAAGTCAGGGATCAATTTTATTTTACACTATCGATATAATGAACAAGGTCTCCTTTTAAATCTATTTTTTTTTAAAAATCTATATTTTTTAAATTTTGACAAAAAGCTGTAGCTTGAACGTCTATTAAAAAAAAAATGCTAATCGACAAAAAAATATTCTCCGATATTTTTTTAACGAGCAGACCGATCTATTTTTTAGTCGCAGGAATTTTCGGCTTTAAAGCTAGCCGCTCGGCTAGAAGTTTAACTATTCTTAGAAAAATTGACTTAAGTTAAAAAAAGTATGAATAATGTCCTCGTGACCTTAGACAAGCCCTTTCTTTTTTATTCATAGACTTTTACTTTCTAAATCCTTCTCGATGCATGATGAAGTGGCGATTTCTATATATAGATATTTTATTTATTATCAACCTTAACATGCTTAGTAATAATACTAATGCACAGGGGAGCTACTTAAATTCCACTTACTTCCAGGATATCCGTTGTAGTGACTAGCTGTTTTTTTGTGTGTGTGCTTTCTTGGGGTTACTGAATTCCAAGAATAAAAGCAACTTTAATCTTTGTTTTCATTATTTTGGTGCCTGGAAAATTCGGTAATTATGAAATAAAAATCGATTGAAAGTTGATTTTTGGAGGCTAAACCCCTACTCCTATATTTTTAAATAACTCCGCGGGGGTCCAGATAAAACCCCACTACAATACCAGGGCCGTACTTGCAGAAGTCAAAGTGGGACATAAAAGGTTAGGAGGCCTCCTTCAAATATTTTTTTTAAAGTACAGGGGGTCTAGATTAAAAAAAAAAAACTACTACAACAATAACAGGGCCGTACTTTCTGGAAGTGGCTACCCGACTCCCAATAAGTATTATAAAAAAAAAAAAATAACGGGTTACAGTTCAGATAAAAACCTACTGCAACAATAATACCAGGGCTGTACTTTCTGGAGGGGAGGGGGCTAATCCCACCCTCCAATATTTTTATATTTCTTAAAATTATTATTTTAAGAACACTAAAAAAAACTAAAGGATTATATTTCAGATTTTTTGAATACTTGAATTGAGTGGGTGGGTAGTGATTTAGAGGAAGGTTTAAGGTTATAAAGAGTAACTAACACTCCTGCTCATGTTCATTGAGAAAAGAACTTCCTTTGGAAATACCAGCATGACCTAATGTATTGGAAAAAAAATTTAGTTCCAACATTATTAAAAAAAGAAAAAAAACTCACGAACCAAATAAAAAAAAATAATGTGATATATTTTTTGTTTTGAGCGATTCGTGGCGTGGTGTGTATTTTATTTTTATACACTAACTTTTGTGACAAATTTGTCAAATGATGAAAAAGTAAATTTACAAAAAAGAAAGAAAAGCAGACCTTATAATTGCGAGTTAGATTTAAAATCAAAACACGAAGAAAAACAAATTTTGTTAAATTTAATCAGGAATAATTTTTTTTTTTAGGAATAACTTCTTGCTTGTCACCACTTGTCTTCAATTCTATTGTAAGTAGTACGAATTTCTTCTTCATGTATCTTTTAAATTTCTTTCAGGGCGAATTTGACTTTATTGCTTAAAAAAATCCGCAAGCTATATATATATATATATATATATATATATTATATATTTTATTTCTTCTTAATCAAACGTGTCGGTAATCGCAAATCTTTTGGTTATTTTTTTTAAATCTTTTTCACGTTACTTAAATCTTTAAGCTAAAACTGGCTTTAAAAAAACTGTTTATTTTTTTTATCTGTTAAAAAAAAACTATAAAAATTTTGAATGCTGCGTTCGTCAAGTTTATGGTGGGTTAGTATTTTTTTATTTTTCAATGTTTACTTACAAAAAAAGTTTTCAAACTGTTGCTCGCGAACGGTAGAAATAGACACCTTAAATTTATTCTTTTTGTTTTATATATAACGATTTAAAGGCTAATGTTCCAACCGACTCCAAAAAGAAAATCTCACACATTACTTTTTTTGTGTGTGTGTGGTCCTCCAGGCACGACATCGTGAAATACACAAGTTGCCAAGACGGTAATGTTGTCCACTTATAAATGTTTTGAATTTTTTCTTCTTTTGTTAACATATTCAATAATTTATCATGTGTTCTGTGACTTTATCATTTTTTTTTCTTTTCGTTAAATGGGTAAATATTTTATTTAATCGAAGAGTTTTTAACAACTTTTTATGTTTTGAATTTTCTGTCCAACCAAGCCATCATAATGGCACGCGTATCGCTGTGGGCGATTTTTATTTTTTAATAAATAACAAACTTAATATTTGACAGTTTACCAAAAATATCTTGTTGCCATTTTTTTTTTTTTTTTTTTTGTAACATTCTTCTGCTTGAAAACGTGAATGATGGGATTTCATTTGCAAAAAAAAAATGTAATTGTTTGAAAGAAATGTCCAAACTCCAAATAAAAAAACTAAAAGGTTAATTAGAATATGGTTTTCATTTATTTATTTGACTAATAATATACACGATCGGCGTCGCGTAATCCTTGCTGTCTTCCGAATGTAATATTTCCGGAATGCCGTACAAAAACTATTCAAAATGCCCTTATTTCTTTGAGGGCCAATTAAGTAACCCATTCCCCTGTCGGGTCTAAATTAAGGGCAAAAACTCTCTCTTCCTGAAAGTGGCTAATTTTCTTACAGTATGTAACGTCGCAGTTAATCGTGCTTTTGTCTTTTTTACTAAGATTGTATCATAGTCTTACTCTTATTGTTGTTTTCATCTCGAAGAAATAGCTTTGTAAACTCTATTAATAAAATTATAATAAAAATGATACAAGGAAAAAGTAATTTTTAATTTAAGTTTGGCAATAATTGAAAAGGACATTTTTGTTTCTTTTTTTTTTTTCTTCCAAATTAAATGAAAGTTATGGAAATTCAATTTTAAAAGTTAGGAAAAATTTTGTTGCTTAGCATCTTTCTGAGTTTAGACCTCCCTTAGGCCATGACACATATCAGAATCGAAAAATATTGGTTTGTTATTGATTTTTACAATATCGATACACTACATTACAAGTTGTAATTTACAACACACTTCAAATCGATCCCTGATTTTTATTGACCTTTAGCGTACGAAAACTGACTCCCCACCCCCATTTTTATGAGTTAGACCAATCTATTCAATAGTGAATAATAGCAACCCTGAAAAAAAAATCTAGAAGTTTATTTCTAAAAGAGAGGTTTTATGGTAAATTTGCTTTTTAAGCCCCGCGCTAGTAAAAAAAATTTTTTTTTCGTTTTTTCAACTGTTGTTTTTTTTATAGTAAATCTTTCTTTTTAAATTAAAAAAAAAATTAAATAATAAACTAAAGCTTTTCTTCTAAATTAAAAATAAAACAAATAATTAATGCGCAAAGTTCGCACGAACTTTGAAAATAGCATGATTATATTTACAAAATAAAAAGAAATGCTCCTTCCTAGCATTTTTTCATTTTGTAAATAAAAAAAAATCATGCTCTTTACAAAGTTGATGCATTAATTATTATTTCGTTTCTAGCATTGTTTTTATTTTGTAATTTTATTTTGCTCTTTAGAAAGTTCACATTCTAGTGTTGCTACAATATAACTGAAAAATTGCAACCAGCCATGCTCCAATCAAAGGACTATGAAAAACTAAAAGAAGCTGTAATAAACTCACATGGGGAATCTAAGCTAGATATGTTCATCAAATTAATGTCTTTTTCTCACATGACTGGACAGCCTTTGTTATATATAAACAGGCTTATATCATTAGCCAGCCGCATTGGAGTTCATTAAGGAGAACAAATGACTGCCTACCCAATATTTGCCCTCTCAACAAGGACCAAAAGCCAAAGTTTTTATTCATTTATATTTGTTGAACATGCAATTCTGCAAGCCATGGTGCAAGGTAGCCTGAGAAAAAGAATGTTAAAATACAACCTAGCTTACACACACTTTCACCTGCATTCTGCTGAGACATCAGAAAACTAATTCAGCAGGATGTGTTAGCTTCCATTTATCCACCATTTCTTGAAGTTGCCACTCGACCAGGCATTCAAAAGCTTAACTTTGTTGTGGACAGAGGAGCTGCCATATCGATTATACCTAAGAAGTATTTAGATGGTGTAAATTATTTACCCAATAAATATCTCCTTTGTGTCCACTAACAGAAGATTGAATGCTCAGGCAAAGCTAGATTAAATTTGGCCATGGACAACTTCAGACACTAGTTCATCTAGACATTTGCGGTTGCAGATGCCACAAAGCCTTTTCTAGATTATGATTTCTTAAATCATTCCATTCTGATGGTTGACTGTGAAAACAATAGACTACTCAAACCAACTAACACAGTTTAATATAAAGCTGACTCCTAAGATTTTGAACATCATAGTGGATCCAGATGACAGTATGGAGAATTATGGAAAACCTATTCAAACATAATTTCATCTCATCGCAACTCTAGTGTGGCAAAACTGAATATTTTTCATAGGATCAAGACTGGTAGAAACCTTTCCACATTTACTAAACCACAACAACTATCAGCACAGAAATTCAACATAGCGAAAGAGGAATTTAGGAAGCTCCAAAAAGCAGGATTAATATCCTTATAATCCATAACTGATAACATCCTAATCACCATACACTAACTGACCTTGAGTGATATAATTACAGACAAAAATATATTTGCTGAGTTAGTGAAAGTTGTCTTCCAGAAATTAAGAAAAGCATGAAAATATTGTTAGAAACAAAAGAGTGCTGAACTCCCATGTAATCTAGGTCCTTGGTATGACAAACTACCTCCAGCAGGAAGGCCTCTGATTGGGAGATTTTGGGGCACATAAAACCACCTCTTAATTGCTGTTGCTCCCAGGTCCACCCTGACCGAGGTTTGTAGCACCTGTTAGGGTCCCAGATATGGGCAAATAATGAACCTCCAAACAAAAACAAATACTAGGAAAGAATAAAATTGCATTTTTATATAAAAAAAATACCAACAATACATATTTATATAAAAAAAATTACCAAGAATAGTCTCCGTTCTCCTATATGGCAATAAATACTGAACAATAAACACACAGATAAAGAAGACTTGAAGCAAAAGATGTGGTTCTACTGATTAATGCTAAGAATATCATGAACAAAATGTTTGAGCTATAAGGAAGTCTTAAGGAAAATAGGAACTACAAGGAAAGTTACAATCAGAAAGAGTTGAAATTTTTGTTCACAATAAGGAAAGAGGGCTTGGAGAATTTAACTATCACAAGATATATAGAATGCAGTAGAGGCAGAGATAAAATAATGATTAACCTACTTAAAAAGTTTGTGTGAATAGATGGCAAAACAGGGACAAAAAAGGATGGTAAAAGGTCAAAAGTTAAGTGTCATTATCACCTACATCCTGAAGAAATTTGATACATGCAAAAAGTAAAATAGGAAATGATTATATACTGAACAGAAGTTACCAAACACAACATTTAAGCAAGTTTGCTTAAAAATGATTTTCTAAGTAAAAAGGCTTTAGAGAAACTTGAAAAGGCAACCATTATTAATTTAGTGAGAGGTGCTTTCAACCTTTCAACAGAAGATAGCTCTGCTTCTTCTCTATTGAAGACCTTTATTTATTTATTTAATTTTTTTTAAAAAAAAAAAAAGGAAATTTTAATTTTTATACACTTTCAAACTTCTGCATCATATTAACAATGGTATGTGTGATTATGATTGATAATGAGGTTATATTAAGCTATAGATAAGATTTTATTATCAGGTTCAATTAACAAATTGTTTTTATAATTTTCTATCAAATGACTTTTAAATCTGTTCTTTCTCCCTCTCCTTTCATTTGTAACTGTACTCGTCACAGGTAATTTCATCATGATTAAAAATTAAATTTTGTAAGTACATTTTTTACTAATTTCTCAGCTGTATACCAAAAAAACTCCTATGTAAATTGCATTATACTTGTGACCTGTCAGTCTAGAAGCACCTTCACATATCAAGGTTTTTTGTTAGTAGAAGTATTAAGATTGGATCTATCGCCAGCTTGCTAGGCCACTAATTCTTGTTATTTATACACTTTTGTCTGGTTATAAGCGTGGAGCTCCTAAGAGGGACTTATACTATTTTTCTGCAAGACAATCTTCTGACTAGTATACTGTGGTAGGAAGTCTTTGAATACCAAATATTTCTGAGTGATAGTAAAAGTCTAAAGACTATTATAGAGAAGAGGTAACTTGTTAGAAATGTAAATTAGACCCTTTGTGACTCTATACAGTACTCAGTTTAGCAAATACTGACACTGTTTTAGAAGGTGAAGGAGGTCATAATAAACTATTGCTAATCAGTTTGACTTTTTGTAAACATTATATTAACTATTTTACCTATGCTGTCAAAACATGATAGAAATATTTAAGTAATTTTACAATTGCATTGTATTTCTAAAATATCAAAAACTATGTTGCTCTGCATTGTTTTTTTTATACTCAATACTTTCTGAATATAAAACTAAACAAATAATACCCTATTCA